GTAAATGAACAGGACTACAGATGCAACCATACCCAACAGAATACAAGAGACAGAAGAGAAAATCTCAGGATGCTCAATGATACCACAAGAACACTTATTCAACTATGTGCATAGCAGCATTATTCATAATAGCCAGAACCCAGAAACAACCTTGACATACCTCAACCAAAGAATGGATAAAGAAAATGTGGTACATTTACACAATGGAGTATTACTCAGTGGTAAACAAACAAACAATGATATCATGAAATTTGCATGCAAATGGATAGAACTAGAAAAAAATCATCCTGAGTGAGATAACCCAGACACAGAAAGACAAACACAGCATGTACTCACTCATAAGTGGATACTAGATGGAAAGCAAAGGAATAACCAGGCTACAATCCACAGTCCTAAAGAAACTAAGTATAGCAAGGACACTAAGAGGGATGCATGGATTGCCCTGGGAAGAGGGAATAGATGAGATATCCTGGATAAACTCGAGGTAAGAGGGGGCTAGAGGGGAGGGGATGGGACATGGGAATATGAGGGATCGGTTGAGTTGGGGGAGGAACAGAGAGGGAGAGCAACAAAAGAGGTCTGGATAGAGGGAGCCACATTGGAGTTAAGGAGAAACCTGGTGCCAGGGAAACTCCCAGGAATCCACAAGGATGACCTCAGCTAAGATTCCTAGCAACAGTGGAGAAGGTGCCTGAACTGGCCTTCCCCTGTAATCAGATTGGTGACTACCCCAATTATCATCATAGAACCTCCAAGTAGTAAATGAAAGGAGCAGATGCAGAGATCCACAGCCAAACACTGGGCTGAGCTCTGGAGGTCCAGTTGAAGAGAGGAAGGAAGAATTATACAAGCAAGGGGGGTCAAGATCATGATGTGCAAACCCACAGCTGAGGCAGCTGAGCAGAGCTTGTGGGAGCTCATGGACTCTAGACTAGAGAGCCTGAATGGGACCAACCTAGGCCTTCTCATGTGGGTGACAGTTGTATAGCTTGGTAGTAGTGGGACCAGGATATGTCCCTGGTGTATGAGCTGGCTTTGGGAACCTACTCCCTATGGTGGGATACCTCACCTCAGTCTTGATGCAGCTTGGTCCTGTCTCAACTTGATATCCATGCGTTGTTGACTCCCATGGGAGGCCTTACCCTTTCTGAGGAGTGGAAATGAATGGAGGGCGGGGGCGGGGGGGGTTAAGAAAGGAGGTGAGGTGAGGGAATGAGAGGAGGGGAGTGAGAGAAAAACTCTGGTTGGTATGGAAAATAAATAAAAAATTAAATAACCTAATAGAGTAAGGAAAATGTGGCACGTATGGAAAATACTAAGAGCAGCAGAGAGGTGACTGCTTCATAACAGAACTTGGAAAAACTGGAAGTATGAACAAAAACTTGTAAGTATGAGTTAGATTTAGAGCTTCATTCTAAATGCTATGTATTAATAACAGTATTTGTTTTTCTGCATGGATGGAAACCTGTCAAGAAGCACAGACTTACAATGGCTACAAAAGTCAATAGATTTAGTTTTTACTACAAAGACATTTCCTCCACCTAACGAACAAGAACACACTAAGGTAGAAGCATTACTCATGGTTTGAATGTATAAACTCTGTCTTTTACTCCAAATCTTATTGCTCATATAATTTTGAGCTTCTAGAACAATAGAGAGGTCTTTCAGAATTAATTATAACCACTAGAGGCTCAAGTTCCTCAGAAAGCTTCCCAAAGCAAACAATCTGTAAGAACTTCAGCACAAGCAGGTGCCTAAGTTCATCAGAACAAAAATTTTCTGCCCTATTCTGTTTTGCATATTTTTGTCACATGCTACATATTCCTTGGGTCATTTTCTCTTATCATATTCCTTGGTAGTTTAGGCATATATATAGTTCTGATTTAATTATCATATCTCCCTTATGAATAACTACTGTAGTCTTCTAGAAATGGTCATCAATTTAACTACTCCCTCTCTCAAATTCAAATAGCAATCTAAATGACTGTCAAGAACAATATCTTTTGATGATGATACCTACATGAAGAAAAATATCCTTGTTCAGGATCAAAAGGACATGAATATTCTAGCATGTAACTGTGATTGTCCTAAATGATCATGGCAGCATATGGCCATCCACAAAAGCTGGATGTAGTAATTGTAAACTTTTCATATGGAATTCAGATTTTCAGTGTTGACTCAGGACTAAGGTTTACTATCTATAGGACTCTTGGTTGATTCAAAACTATGAGCCTCCAAACACAAACACACACACACACACACACACACACACACACACACAAAGTTTCTGCTCTGAGAAAATCCCTCCTAGAGGAAAGATGCTATGTACGGCGTGGGGTATCTGAGGGAAAGGAATCTACACACACCGCGCTCTTTTGTCCATTTACTTTATTCCTCTATGACAAAATTTCTATCTACACAGCTTCAGCTCCGTCCTCACATTCAGCTCCTCTCTTTGCCTACTTTTCCTGTCCTCATAGTTTTAGTCAGCTCCTATGCTTTTGACCTGATCTTTGTCCTCTGTTCCTTCATCCTCCATCTGTCCTTCCTGACTCCTTACCCCTGGCCTTGATAAACTCTACAAGAGATCTGTTTTACTCTCTACAGAACTTCTCCTCTCTCTGACCATGTGGGTCTGTGTCTTCTGTTCTTAGGTGGAGGAAATGTCTTTGTAGTAAAAACTAAATCTATTGACTTTTGTAGCCATTATAAGTCTGTGCTTCTTGACAGGTTTCCATCCATGCAGAAGATTCTGTTCCTGCCTCACCCTTCACTCTTCCTCTCCTCTCTCTGCCCATGCAGTTCTATGTCTGCCTCTGGAATTCTGTTCCAGTCCTTATTACACCTGGTTAGGCAAAAAGCCCTATTGTCCTTGGTCAATTGTTCTGGAATGCCACTAAGCTTGAAGGCAAGAGATGGTATGAGCTTCATTTGCACAAGAAGTGAAGCTATGCATCTACAGCCCTGACTGTCTTCTAGGCTCAGCAGGGGAATTAGTTACCTAGAAGTCAGCAGGTCTGAGAGGCTTAGCTGTTTGCCAAATGGTCTACAGTATTTGGACATGCAAGAATTCCATAGCAGAAGACAGCTGAAATATTAAGGCTGTATAACACCAAATATTCCATGATAAATGGCTTCCCATTTGACGGACCCTTGGCTGGTCAAAGTATATAGCTTTAATACACAGCTGAATCTCTAATATATTTTTGTGGCCCACAAGACACACACACACACACATATACATACACACACATAACACTCTTATCAAATATATCTATATATACATTTATCAAATATATATTTATCACATACACACTCTTATCAAATATATTTATAATACATTTATCAAATATATATTTATCACAAACACACACACACACACACACACACACACACACACACACACACAGTCCTAAAGCATTAATATCTTTTTGAGAAATGACTTTTATGTCTAACAATAGTGTCCAAGACTCAAAAGACACTACAAACAAGTTTAACTTCCTCAATCAAATGTCTGTGTGTGTTTGCTTCTTGAAACAAAATAATTTAGAGTAGGAAATTTATAAAGAACAGAAACAATTTCTCACAGTTCTGGAGGCCTGGAAGTCCAGGATGGAGTCGCTGACAGGGTTGGTTTGTGATGAGACTCTGCTCCACTTCTAGGTAGCACCTTATAACTGGTGTCCTCTGGAGGTGCTAAAAGCTTTGCCTTGGGTCAGTAGGGCCAGAGGCAGTTGCCCCCTTTAAAGGCATGAATCCATTCTTAAAGGCTCTCGTGGTACCATCAACATCCTCAAAGCCTCCAGTTCTTAATACCATTACAATGAGGATTAAGTTTCAACAAGAATTTTGGAGTGGACATATTCAAAACATAACACAGAAAAAGTTATGAGCAATAAAAGTTATATAATTTCTCCTCCTTAAGCAGGAAAGACAGTTATTATTTTCAGTCTTCAATGTGTGTATAGTCACATTTCAAGTGTACAGCCCCACTAAGCTGAAACCAAGAACAAAGGGTGTACCAAGGATAAAATGCCATCCTCCCAGGAACAGATCCTTCTAAGGCTGTGGTAACAACAGTCCTCAGAAGTAGGTTCCAGCTTGTCTACTAGACTGGTTATAACGTTCTTTAGTGTACACGCTTTGTGAAGCCCACCAAAAGTGACAGTCCCATTCTTCTGAAAGCCAGTAAAATAAAAGTGGATTTGGATGTCAATCAACGCAGTTTCACCCAAGTAACTAATGCAGACATCAACCCATGAAGCTTGAATTCCATGTGCCCCAACTCCTAATAAAAAAGATCAGCACTGTGCGCAGGACTTGGCCTGAATCATAAGGTTCTCCTTTCAAATATAGCATGCAATAAATTCAGTTTTGCCATTTGACATCAGATATTGAGTGCTGGACTCTCTAACCCTGGGCAGTCTTATAGTCACTACTCTTTGCTTTATCATAATTGCGTACTTATATTAGGTCATGTATCAACATAAAATGCTATTACTTGGGAATTAGTTCAGATATTATGCCAATCCTTTATGTATGTTAAGTCTAGATTATCCAACCCACCATTTAATAGCTGAAATAACAAATACAAAGCTCAGTTTGCTACTTACTAGTGTAAGAAGGAGATCAGACTCCTGTATTCAATAAACAGCCTTTTAATAACCTAAGAAACTGTAAATACAGTCTTTGACATGTGTTGTTTATAAATCTTATTAAAAATACACTTTGTGACCACCCAGAAGTGTGTACATTTAGAAGGTACAGAAGAGTGTCTCCTGTTTTTACAGATATTTCATTTCCAGAGAGTATTCTTGATTGGTCTGGGAGTAAGGATGTTTACAACTAATTGATCACAACCAGTTAGAGAGGCTCCTACTCTATGTGTCTCGAACATCTCACAGACACAAAGCATTGTATTATTCAGTAGCCATTTCACTTAACACTTCACTAAATTCTTTCTGAAAAATGGCAAATATCATGTGACAGCATCTACTATATAAAACAAACTAATTTAAATTTATTGTGTGGAAAATAGGGAAGAGGATAAAAAGATGGGGTGGTTCTGCAATAACATAAAAGACTTCACGAAGGACAAAGTCCCCAATCCTCGTCACACAGCATGTTCTTAAATACAGAACAGGCCAGCCCCGCTTGCTGGCCAGCAGAATCATGGAGGCAAAACTTCTCACAAGGAGGCTCCTTCGTCAAGGACATTTCTTCTCTGTGTCAGAATAGTACTTCTTAGGCATAAGCCCAAGGTTTTGTTTAGTCTCCCATCGATGTAGAATTGACTGGCTGGATGAAATATCAAGCCGCTTATCTTGATTCTGTAGGGAAAAAAAAAATACACTCAACTCTGTCTGATGAGAACCAAGAGTTTTTACAGCCTGTTACCCTCCGTAATGCCACTAATACATTCAAATAGGTAGATTTGATCTCGATAGCTTGGGGAAGGTAAAACATCTAGAGAAACTTAGTCCATTAGTTTCCTAATAGCAGTTGAAAGAAACCCACAGGTGAGTAAGGAGCGGCTAGATGACTAAGAGGGCTTCTGTAGTCAGACATGGAGAAGGAAAACTTCGGACTTCTTCACAACCACCATGCCAATCTCACCTCTTCTGGCCATTTGTCTTCCCGGGGAAGCCTCTGCAGCCGGTTTTTGGTCAGCTCAAGTTGTAAGCCATCGAACCTGCATTTAAACCAGCGGTGAGCTTCTTCCAGGTTAGCTGTTATCTGAACACAGAAATGGCCACAAGTTCTTTTGGGTACGAGCCTGGGAGATTTACACCTAGCTATCAGAAGACTCAAATGATCAGAGGGATTCTTGCCATGTGTTTGTGTCGTACACTGCACAGCCACTGGGCTGAGGGAACACTCTCTGAGGGAGCACTCTCTGAGTGAGGCCTTAGAGGATGCGTGCAGGTTCCTGCTTCCCAGGCACTTCGTCAGAACCCCCTGCCTATCCTACACCTGGTGGGGCACTAACAGAGAGGGGCTAGCAGCTGTGTGCTTCCAGGGAGCACTAACAGAGTGTGGCTAGCAGCTGTGTGCTTCCAGGGAGCA